GACTCCCCGTAGCATCACTGCACCCACACAGCCAACATGCGCACAGCGTGTCTTAGGGCAGCTAGCACTGCTAGCCGCCTCACACGATCGTCGTGTGTAGCCCAGCTACCGCGTCCCCAGCTCGCGGGCACGTCGTCGCGCGCCATCGCATACCAAACCCTGCAAACTCTCCAAAAGCGCGGGTTCCAGCAGCAGGCGCCGAATGCACAACAGGCGGCCGCAGCCGTCGAAGCCGCAGACGATGTATTCGACACCCCGCCCCAGCAGACCGACTCGGCGAGACCCTTCGATGCGCTCGACACCTTTCCCCGCCGTCACATTGGGCCATCTGCCGAGAGTGCGGAAGCCATGCTCAAGGCGCTGGATCCGCCCGTGGGCAGCCTAGACGAGTTCGTCCGCCAAGTTATACCCGCCGATATTCTGTCAGCGCGCGAGTTGAAGATTGGCAGAATGTCCGAGGGGCTGACTGTGGAGGAGTGGCAGGCCCATGGCGTGCCAGAGTCCGTCTTCCTCAACACCGCGAAGCAGATTATGAGCCAGAACAAGCCAGGCAAGAGTCTGATCGGACAGGGATACTATGGTACCAAAGTGCCCGAGGTCATCAAGAGGAATGTACTCGAGAACCCCGCTTGGTACACTAGCTATACCCCATACCAGCCTGAGATCAGTCAGGGACGTCTGGAGTCGTTGCTGAACTTCCAGACTATGGTGTCGGATCTGACTGGCCTGAGCATTGCGAATGCGTCGGTGCTGGATGAGCCTACTGCGGCGGCCGAGGCCATGACCATGTCCATGGGCATGATGCCTTTGTCCAAGCAGAAGAGCAAGAACAAGACTTTCCTCGTATCTGAAAGATGCCACCCCCAGACTCTCGCTGTTCTTTACTCGCGCGCTGAGGGTTTCGGTATCAAGATCGAGGTTGCGGATGTGCTCAAGGACAACAGCAAGAGGGTGGAGGAGCTGGGCCAGGATCTTGTCGGTGTGCTCGCGCAGTACCCAGACACTGACGGAGCTGTCAACGACTTCCGCGGACTCGCTGACAAGGTGCACAAGACTGGTGCGCTCTTCAGCGTTGCGACCGACCTCCTCGCCCTCACACTGCTTACTCCCCCGGGAGAGTTCGGTGCCGACATCGCTTTCGGAAACGCACAACGGTTCGGTGTGCCTCTGGGCTACGGTGGACCACACGCAGCCTTTTTCGCTTGCGACGAGAAGTACAAGCGCAAGATTCCAGGTCGTCTGATCGGTTTGTCGAAGGACAGGTTGGGAAACCCTGCGGCGCGACTCGCGCTGCAGACCCGAGAGCAACATATCCGCCGTGAGAAGGCTACCAGCAACATCTGCACAGCACAGGCACTGTTGGCAAACATGAGCGCCATGTATGCTGTGTACCATGGACCAAATGGCTTGACTGCCATCGCCAAGCAAGTCGTTGCAAAGGCTCGCACGATCCAACAAGCGCTCATCTCCAATGGTTACAAGACTGGTCAGCGCGGAAAGATGGACAATGCACCTGTCTTGTTCGACACAGTTGTTGTCGAGACAGGCGACAAGACCGACGCCATCATCTCCGCACTCGCGAAGAATGAAATATTTGTACGAAGAGTCGACGAACATCACGTCGGTATCTCCGTTGATGAGACCACTGGTGCGAATACGATCAACAAAGTATTGAACGTGTTCAACGGAACTCGGAACGACTGGTCTTTTGCCGAATCTGTCGACATTGAGGTTCCTGAGCCGTTCAAGAGGACTAGTGAATTCATGACCCACCCCGTATTCAACTCCCACCACTCTGAGACGGAACTTCTTCGTTACATCAACCACCTGTCTTCGAAGGATCTTTCTCTAGTACACTCGATGATTCCTCTTGGTTCCTGCACGATGAAGCTTAACTCCACCGCGGAGATGGCACCTGTCTCGTTCGATACTGTTTCCAACCTGCATCCCTTCCTGCCTCTGGACCGCGCCACCGGATATTCCGACATGATCAAGCAGCTGGAAGACGATTTGGCCGATATTACCGGTTTCCACTCGGTTTCGCTACAGCCCAACTCTGGTGCTCAGGGTGAGTTCACTGGTCTTCGTGTCATTCGTAAGTACCTCGAGCAGCAGCCTGGCAAGAAGCGCGACATCTGCTTGATTCCTGTCTCAGCCCACGGAACGAACCCTGCTAGTGCTGCCATGTGCGGTATGCGTGTTGTACCCATCAAGTGCGACCAAGCGACCGGAAACCTCGACATGGCCGACTTGAAGGCCAAGTGCGAGAAGCACAGCGAAGAGCTCGGTGCCTTCATGGTCACCTACCCCAGCACTTTCGGTGTCTTCGAGCCCAGTGTCAAGGCTGCTTGCGACCTCATCCACCAACACGGCGGCCAAGTCTACATGGACGGTGCGAACATGAACGCGCAGATCGGTCTCTGCTCACCCGGCGAGATCGGCGCCGACGTCTGCCACCTTAACCTCCACAAGACTTTCTGCATCCCCCACGGCGGCGGTGGTCCCGGTGTAGGACCCATCGGAGTAAAGGAACACCTCTCGCCCTTCCTCCCTGGCCATCTCCGCGGCGAGACCGGCGGCGCCCAAGCCATCCACCCCGTCAGCGGCGCCCCCTGGGGAAGCGCCAGCATCCTACCCATCAGCTGGGCCTACATCAAGATGATGGGCGCCGTGGGTCTTACCCAAGCGACCAAGATCACCCTCCTGAACGCAAACTACATCCTCTCCCGCCTGAAGCCGCACTACCCCATCCTCTACACCAATGACGAAGGCCGCTGCGCCCACGAATTCATCCTCGACGTCCGCGGCTTCAAGGAAACCGCTGGTATCGAAGCTATTGATATCGCCAAGCGCCTCCAAGACTACGGTTTCCACGCCCCAACTATGAGCTGGCCTGTCGCTAATACCCTCATGATTGAGCCTACCGAGTCGGAGAGCAAGGCTGAGCTAGACCGTTTCTGCGACGCGCTCATTAGCATTCGCAAGGAGATTAAGGAGGTTGAAGAGGGTGCTCAGCCCAAGGAGGGTAATGTGCTTAAGATGAGTCCGCATACGCAGCAGGATCTTATCACGGGAGAGTGGCAGAGGAGTTACTCGAGGGAGAAGGCCGCATATCCTCTGAGCTATCTCAAAGCGAAGAAGTTCTGGCCGAGTGTTGCGAGGTTGGATGATGGTAAGTTCTCTTCTGCTCTTTGGATGGTGAAGATTCGGACTAACAGTGCAATAGCATATGGCGACACAAACCTCTTCTGCACATGCGCGCCTGTTGAGGGCGAGGATAGCGATATCACGGGTGCGGCTGCGCCTACCCCGACTTAAGCCTTCCCATCCCAACTACGACAAACTACCGCCGGCGAGATCTTCTACACGATCTTTTCTTTACTCTTTGCATCAAAGGTGCGGGGCTCTATCGGATAGGCCTCTTTCTTCAACAAGCACCCCCAGCGTGGGTGTTCTGGCGTCTTGTTTACATCACCATGGCATGGCTTCAACACTTGCTGGTCGATGAATTTTTTTGTGGGCTTTATGAATGCATATGTGGCGTTTTCTTGCTGGGTATAGATAATGCTATGATAGGTATGGGAATGAGATGATACTTCATGATGCAAAACGTCGTATTTACTGAGTCTTTGTGGTTAATGTGGTTTCTGTGACGTGATGAAGATGGTTGCGAACAATCCCGGAGACCTCCGTGTCTGCATCGCGGCTAGTGTGCGGACTTCGTGGTTCACGTGCATGACCACAACTAGCTTGGCTGAATGCATATAAAAACCTCATTCAGGCTGTCGACTTGCTTCTTTCTCACATAACATCCTCCCGCGGTTTCCCAAAAAGGACCCCCGATCGAGACATGGTGCGGACAAAAACGTCGCAGTAGACGCGGTATGGCTGCTCGGTCTTTTCCTCCTCTTCGACATACCCTTGTCATAAAGTCTTGGACCTCTCTACCATGTCTCTTCCGCCCCCTTCCTTCTCAAAACATGAACCTGTTACCTGGATGGTGTCTTCGCCTGCCTTTTCTCGATACTTCAACGTCACTATGGCATCACGCATGTGCTTCGTCTGCCAGAACTCATTTGCAAACGTTTCTATGGCTGTGCGGTCTCTCTTCTCCTCTACAACATTACCAAGGTCAGCGACCAGAACATCACATCGTTGTCATCATGGTTGCTGCCTTCTCCTGATCAAAAAGAAAATCTTTGTGGGTTTGGAACATGGTGTTCTCCAACTCTCCCTGGAGTTTTCCAAAAGGGAACTCTGTATAGACTATGTGTTCGGCTCACGGAACCCACACCCCGAATGTTTCCATGGCAGGTCTTCTTTTCTTCTCTTCCCATATCTCTGAGAAGTGGCAACTAAGAATTAACTCAATATGGCCAATGATTCCTACCTCTCCTTTACCAAAAGACGAGAGACTACCGCATATGGCGTTCTTTTGCCTCTCCTGGAAAGTCAAAAAGGTTACAACGAGTACTGGATGTGCTTCCAGTATCGAAATCACCATACTATATGGCCATAGCTGTCTGCTCCTTCTTCTACCAAAATGGTCAAAGAGCATGCCAAATGGCCTCGGCGTTTCGAAAAACGTCCTTGCAGACTACATGAGTGTCTGCGCACCAAAGCAACCCTGGATCGTGGACATGTCTCCTGCAAAAATGCACCCACACCCGTTAAATGAACAGAAAGGTCATCATAGCTCACGCATGTCTGAAGGCAGTAGCGGAGAAACAACAAGGGTGTTGGGTATGCTTCATGATGGCTACATGTCCTGTGGATGTACCAAAAGATGACTGCGGTATATTTATGTCGGTAAAAGCTGAACCATCACAGCACATGACTGTGCTGCTTGCTCTTCTTATCACTCATGGCTCAACTTTGGTCGCCGGAAAGAGGCTAGTCGGCGACGAGGCCGGGTATAAAGATCGCGAGATCTTGTGCTCTCTCTTCTTTTTTATCCCTCACTGCTTCTGGCAGTTTACCAAAACGTGAACCATGTCTTCGGATGGAGTGACTGAAAGGTGAGATTACTCAACGAGGACTGCGGTGTGGAGAAAAGTTCACGATAAAAGCTAGAGACATTTCCTATATGAGTCTTCCTCTTCGGCGCCTGCTCATACTCATCTTATGACGAAGCTCAAGCTTTTCGCAGTTCATACTGAATAATCTGAGTATAAAGACGACATGTCGCGGTCAAAGTTGCGCCTTCCTCCACGATTGAAACCCACCTCACCTGCTTACATAAAGCCCATACGATGAATTCCATCATCTTGCTTGGTTCACATCTTCCGCAAACCCATCTAATCCACCTTTGGAAACAAGGCATTCCCAATCGCGGCAACCGCCTCATTACACAGCACTCTAACCTCCTCCTTCACATACAATTGTCCAGCAAAATGCTCAAACCTACTCTGCCACAATAGCCACCTTCCCCATGACAGCCCCGGTTCCCGTTCACCATTCCAAAAGTCCGTCTTCACCGCGATTCCTCTCTGCAAACCTTCTCCAAAGACTGAGTTGCCCAGACGGTACATGTGAGATGCGCCTATGATGGCCCATTTAGCAGCGGCTGTGAGGTCGTAGTTTAAAAGTTCTTCTGCGTCGATTGCAGAACGCTCGAGAAAACTCGGGCGAATATGTTTCTCGAATTCCGCCTCTCTCAATTGCCTGTTCGTCTCAAGCGTTTCCCTCAGACAGAAGAAGCCAAAAATGAAGTACCCATCGTCGAAATCCGACGTAGCCAGTTTGACAGTAAAGACGTTACAATTGACCCATCTATCACCTGGCGTAGTGGTCGCTTCCTTATCTTCTGGTTTCCAGAGATACCGTAGTCCGGATATACCGTCATAATTTTCCCGGTGCATGGATTCGAGGTGGTAGTAGACTGGATTTGGGGATGGTGATATGGCGCGGATGGCGGGAAGGAGGGCGATGATGGGGGAGTGTGAAGAGGGGAATTGAGCGACTGTGTCTAGGAGTAGGTTTGTGACTTCGAAGCCGGTATCTGCGGGTTTTGATGAGGCGTTCACAGAGTGCAGGAGGGCTTCTGCGGCTGAGGCGGGTGAGGTCTCTGTGGTGCTGGAGAGAGAATCTGAGAGAATTTTGGTGCATTCTTGGTATGTGTTATCACCGGCACTCGCCTTTTGACTGAGCCATTGTTCCATACTGGATAGTTTGGGCTGTGAAAGGTGTTGGTGTGGAAGTGATGTTGCAGCCGCGGCTCCTGCTCTCCCACCTCCGGGTACGGTACCTAGCCTCTTTGATGCGCCCTTGCTTGTTCCGGCAAGGGCAGGATGACTGCGCCACACTCGCATAGCAACATATATGCGCTCTTTCGCCCTTTAACACGACACCGTTCAATGCACCCGTGTACTCACATCAAGTCGGCCTATATCCATGCACCTGGGCGCTATTCGATATCGCCAACCGCAAATCTTCATAGGCGCATGGCAACCTTCCACCCCTTCCCCCGTCTGCCCTACGAGCTGCGCATGCAGATATGGGAGATGACAGTTGAATCCCGCATAGTAGACGTCAAAGTTTATTATGACCCAATTCCGAATGACTTCGGTCTTTCAACTACCACGCTGGTACCTCCCGTTCTCCAGGCCTGCCAAGAAGCGCGAAATCATGGACTGTATAAGAGATGTTTCTCTGAGCTAGCTCTTCCTAACTACCGAGCGCAGTAAGTATTCACATATAATAAGACAAGACGATGCATGCTAAGTAGCGATGCGGCATGTAGGTACGTGTGGGCTGACCTCAATATCGACACCATTGACATCGGAGATACCTATTTCGAAAGATACGAAAAAGTCGCCAAGTCCATCCGCTACCTCAAGTTCGCACGCGAAATGCAGTCAGAGTATTTCTACCACTCTGAGACTCACGACATTTCGCATTTCGTCAACGCAAAAGAGATTTGGATCGTGCCTCTCGATGGACTCGGTTGCTGTGTCGGAGCCGGAGAGGAGCATTATTGGCCATGTGGCCCGGAAAACTTATTTTACATCGATCCTGAAAACCCTGAGCGAGTGTTCAGAGGCTGGGATGGGGAAGTCGAGATTGATGCTCTGTATGCCTGAGGCACCAAGGTAATGCCATATTTCATCGCAAACGAGTTCGCTGATGGGCCCCTGAGCAGCGTTAATCAGTGGACTGTAGATTGGGGGCGCCGCCAGAACCGGAATGAATGACCTGCGTTCGACTGCAGAGGTAGGGGTACGAAGTCAGTATATGTCTCACATGCACTTCGTACAGCCAGAACTTACCTTGTTATGCTCAGACTCGGTATTAGTCGGGCAATGGAATTGATGCTGCGAAAAGTGAGTGCAAAATGGCTTTCGTCTGGATATGCGACGCTACACAGTGGCGACCAGAGTAAGCTCACTCTGTTCCTAAACTCGTTTCAGCGCGAAGGGTGCTTTGGAAAACTTCCTAGATGCAGACAAGCGCAGTCTTTCTGACATGGCGTACGGCTAGTAGCCTCTTGTTATCGTCTTCTCCTCGATGATATGGCCCTTGGCCGCTCAGCTCGTCCTGGCATACGTATTTCTCTGGCTCTTGCAAACGCTCAGACCTCAATCTCGTACACTGCAATGCAGTCGCTAGCACACAGCCTTTTATGCTGTACATGCCAAGCGAGGATAAAGTTGCTAACTATATGCGGCGTAGTTCTCGCGCATATACAGTAAGGGAGGTATGCGCCATGTCAAAGTCTGACCGTGCCGCACCCTGACTGTTCTGGACTTTATCGACCTTCCCGTTACGTCTACCAGATGTTGGATGTCGTGAATTCAGCATTGCACTAGGCGCTAATTACTGCCGTAACCGTTGCGCCCTTGTGACAGCTAACAATTTCCTGCGCGACTTTCAATCCAAAATTTACACTACACTCGGTTTATCCCACCAGAATCTCACCATGACTCTGTTTTTTTTTCCTACCGATCGCTCTGCTAGCCCGCGGAGTCATCTCCACAGGCTCGCCTCTATTTCAATACGACCCCAACACAGCGAAAGACTACGTAGAATGGTACGACAATGGCGAAGGCGATACCGGCGAGAATGTTCGCAAGTTCTTCGGTATCACGTCAGAGGAATTCGCAGCCTGGAATCCCTCCCTGAACCTTGACTGCGAGCCCTGGCACCCATCGGTATCATATTGCATCGTTACCGAAACAAAGCTGAACGCTACGAGCCCAACGACAACATACTCAACGACGATAGCTTCTAGTACCACCAGTACTACAACTACTGCTTCATCTCCAACTGTCTGGACGCCACTCGGCTGCTGCGTGGAGGATCCTGATATGCCAATACTCGAAGAGAACATGAGCCCGGACAGCGACTCTTCCCTTACTATACCAAAGTGAGAGGACAGCTGCTGCCGAGGTGGTTTTGCCTTCGCTGGTGTACAGAATGGCGATCAATGTTGGTGCGGCAGCTATGTTGGCGGAAACTGGGCGAGTGATCAAGCGAGCTGCAATAAGTCATGTGCTGGGAATGAGGACACCATTTGTGATGGAATTGGTTTTCTCAACATTTTTAAGGCTGAGGAAAACCGAGAAGTCATTTCAGCTACCATGTCTGCCACTGCAACTGATACTGTATCTGACACTGCCTCTGCATCCGCTGCGGTGTCTAGCGTTGCTGCCAATAAACTCGGTGTGATAGTGCTCAGTGGAGGCTTTTGGGGACTACGAGATATGTTTTAGTCGATCAATATTCTACTAGTAGCTGTTGTGATAGATACACTGAACGGTATGATCTATATCCTAATCAAACGTGAGAGCGGACGACGATGTCATTGCCTTTCGACACGAGCGCGCTCAACGTCCTCGAAATGTGTAGCCGGCTGGCACTAAGGATGAGGGTATAAAGGCCTTCATTCTGTGACCTGGATGCTGTTTCCTTATCACCTAAGCGTTCACTCGTTTCTCCAAAACAAAAGGCACCACAACGCATGGTCGTGGACTCAGAAAGACACCGGTTCAGAATCCATGTGGCTCTCTTCTCCGCTCGCCCGACACAAAACCAGTAAGGTTCATCTCTGACTCCTATGTTCCTCTCCTCTACTCTACCAAAAGGACTCAAAATACAAATCATTTGCCATGCTTTCTATGTCGGCGCACCAGAAAAGACAGGACCACACCGCCATGACTTCAACATCACAATCTGAGGCTACTAAAACCAGAGGGGGTGGGTATTATGTGTGCGCTGTCCACCCTTCTTCTCACTGATATCGAAAACTACTAGGATAAGCCGGAATGACCGTTGCTTCTCGTGTGCATAAGACCCACCGCTTCCGCTTCCTCTTCCTCTTTCCCTCTCTTACCAAGATACATCGCATCGATGTTTTACCAAAATCAAAGGCGAAATTGACGATGGCTTTGTTGCCAAAAATGGCCCGCAAACCCGCAATGTCCTTTCTCTTTCTTTCCAAAATACACAATCAAAAGCACCGTAGAATCAACGGATGCCTGTCTTCTCGCTCTTTCGTCCAGAAGCAAACGTGGAATTCAAAATCTCTTACTGGATAACCATGCAATCCGGAACCGAAAAGAAACACATTAGAGAACCATGTTGTTCGACTTCGACTCAGAATCTCATGCCAGCAGTACCATGATCTGTTCTCTCGTCACTTCAAGAGTCTAAACACACAATCCTCCGTGTTCACCTTTTATAATTAGGAACCACCAAACAACACAATCAAACGCCTGATGAAGATTTTTCCGCCCAAACAGCAGTCACTCCTTTTCATGCTCTTGCTTCCTCCTCTCCCGTCGTTACAATTAATCGATTAAACACGACATCAAACGACTCCATATCAATCGAAATCCATTGCACGATGTAATATGTGTGCCTCCGAAAAGCATCATAAACCATATGATGATGTGTTCCTAAATCTTGTTCTCCCTCGTATAAAGGATACCGAGTCCAAATAACAGGATTTCCTATCGCTTCACATCCCAAAGAGTAGCAAAAGGCGTAGGAAACCCTCTCATAGCTCCGCCTCAACACACGAGCTTAGTGCGTACTACGGAAGCAGAACAAAAGCAAGGACGTTCTTGTTCCATGTTGTTGTCATGAGCAGCGTTGAAGAATACATGTGCATTCGGTCGAGCTGAAAGAACCCTACGGTGTGGTGTATAGCTGCAGAGTTTACCGAGTACAGCTAGAAAATCTCGGAAAAAAGACATGTGACAGTCTTGCCGATATGTAGTATCGTGAGGTACCAGTATCGAGTCGATGATGCTAATCATCACCATGGTCATTCCTCGTAATTACTCGTATACGTCAATGGTTGTGGTGGCAATATCTCCAGCTTGTTCATACGACACAGATGAAGGGACAGTGAACTAGAAATACATTGTGTCATTTATGTCTCTACAGCATCACAACTGAGCTCGACATACTGCATCCGTCGCAGCCCCACTAGCACTCAACAGCCATGCCCGCTCAGCAACAATCACTCTTCTTCGACCTCTTAACCGCAGCGCGATCAACCCTAGGGTCCAATCTATTCAAGAGATCGCTTTTGTAAGGATTCCTCGTCGATCTCGGCTTGCCCCTCGAAGTGCCGGGTGGATCCACTCTTGCATCTAAAGATCACATTCTATTAGCAAAAGCTGTACGTTGAGGCTGCCACATGCTCAAAGCCTTTGCGAAAGACATGTGGCGAGCCACCTCCAACAAAAAAATGTGACAGTCTGCGGAGAATGAACTTACGGCTTCGGCGGCGAGATATGCGATGAAGTTCGTCGTCTGAGTCGGGCGAGTACCTTCCTGACTCTGGTTGTGCTGAGTTATCGGAGCCGTCATCGTACTGCGGTACGGGCTCTGCAGTAGCGCGATTCGGAGGAGGATATTGTTCTGGCTCGACATCCTCATCAAGCATGTTCAAAACGCTGCTTTGATGCGTAGGCTTCAGTTGGTGGTAGCAAGGGCCAGGTTGGCTGTAGCCAGGGCCACCAGCATATACCTCGTCAGGTGCATACGGTGCCGTCTGTTCAGGTGGGTCAAGCTTCTGAGCAGCCGCAAGACTTGAAGCGCCTCTTATCGAGCCGCGGAGACGGTGGATGTTGGGGTGATTTGTATACTTCATCGATTCCTCGTCTAACCCGACGGTGAATACAGGGTCGAGCTTGTTCGCAGTCTCTAGTCCGGATGAGCCGCCGATGGAACCGCGGTGCTCGTGTGGAGGGTTTGGGTCATGCTGGGATTCGTATGGCGGGTGCCAGGCATCGTCAAAGCCTTGTGATGGCTGCCATTCAGCAAAGTCTTTTTGATCAATATAGCATCAGCGTTGTTTTGGGCAGTGTGCTGATAAAGGAAGGTCGTATAGTATAAGTGGCCGTTCGGAATAATCAATCTCACCTGTTCCTCCTTTCTGCGCTCTATGACACAATGAGTGAACATGAGCTGTGACGTCAGCGGAAACAAGTAACAGAAGATCGGTAGGTACGAGGAAAAGGGGTATATTGATGTTGAAGCGCTCAATGTATAGTCTATCTACGCGTCTCGTAGCCCGTACCGCCAACTTTGGATGTGGGATCAGCGCGGTGGTCTACGTCCGAGTCGAAGCGCGGGTCCATCTTGTTGCCAACGTTTGTGGAATGCGGTCCAGCGTTTGTAGAGTCGGTCGCGGTACCGCTGTGGTCGAGGTCAGAGTCGTACCTGGGGTCGACCTTGTTGCCAATGTTCGAGTTATGCGAGCCGTAGTTTGTGGCCGTGGTGCCGGCCGTGTTCATGCGTTCGCGGTGGGCATCAGCGTCAGCAGGAGTAACACCGGCGTCGGCAGGGTGGCCTCGGTAGCCTCGATCCCACTCGTCGACTCCCTTGTTGGCAATCTCTTTGTTCTTGATTGCGCTCGCCTTGTCGCCGCTCGCTTCGTCGACCATGGACATGGCATTGCCTCGGATGGCCTCGCCAGTTCCCTATGTATTGTTAGTATGAGTGCGATATCGAAGTAGCTCGAGGGATTGGGATAGAGCGACGATGTAAAGCTAGGCGCGTATCGCGGTGATAGGGCTGACTTACGTGAACCATGCCCACGCCCTTACGGATGGAGTCGCCGAGAGTCATGTTGAGTGTATAGGTATTTGGTGTATCGCTAATAATCGTTGAGGGGTTTGTGTGTAGGTATGGAGAGACGCGTAAAGGTTGGTGTATCAGGGTATGTGTGGCTTAAAGCAGTGAATAGGAAGCGGGGAAGGGTGTCGAGATAAGTACTCGACGCAGGCGGTAGCTGCCACACAACCTGCTTCTGCGTTTGCCATGATTTGCATCGTTTGCGCGTAGTTTGGGAAAGCGCATTGCGACATAGGTTCGACGATGTGATGTCATGCTCGGGATTTCAGGGATTCGCTACCGGTAGGGCTGGACTAGGCCGCATTGGGGTTCCCACGTGTCGAGCATGACATCCGACACGTTGCGGTAGGCTGCATGGCTACGAGGGTATGTCATAGATGAATGCATTGAAACAGATACGGAGATCTAAATCTTTGCACTCACAGTTGAATGACAACATCTAGAGGTAACATGTCGGCCTTCGATGTCATTGTCAAGTCGGGCATGCCAACCTGCCAACTACACCCATACGCGCAAGTGGTAAGACGCTTTGTATTCGAGCACTTGAGGGGCATGAAATGACAAAGAGTTTTCGTTCTTTCATGCTACAGAACTCGATGAGAGCCAGCTTGTGGTATCAGGCTCAGCAATTTAAGTAAGGACTTTGGGAGTCATACTTTAATTGCTCTCCACTCCTGGCATTGTATACTTAGCATTTCATATCAAATATCTCCAGTATGTGATTGTACTCTTGGCTAATAGAACCATGTTGAGGCTAAAATATGGAAGGGGACAAACGTTACACCGAAGGAGCCAAGTATGGGGAAACTGAAATCGTATTCTCTCGAGGAGACTTTCGTAACGTTCATCAACATCTATGCCTAGGCATGCGACTTTTCTGTCTTCAACTCCTTGATTGCAACACCCCTAGACCGCATCCATGTCGCTGCCGTCTTCTCATGCCAATCCGCCAACGCCGTTCCCCAGTGACTGGAATCATCTCCGCTTCTTCATGTTCAGAAGCCTCTTAGGCCTTGCCGGCGGTGTAGAAGTCATCGAGTGCAGTTGTCAAGCGCTTCGACATAGTGACCTCACCAGCGCGCACCTGGCGAAGTTAGTATATGTATCACATGCACTTCGTACGATCAGAACTTACCCAGACCCTTGGGTCATAAAATTTCTTATTCGGCTTGTCCTCACCGTCCGGGTTGCCGACCTGGGTCATCAAGTAGTCCTTCTTGTTCAGGACGTAGTCGCGGACACCGGAGAGGTAAGCCCATTGCATATCGGTGTCGAGGTTCACCTTGACGACACCGTATGAGATAGCCTGACGGAAGTCATCAACAGAGCTGCCACTGCCACCGTGGAAAACGAGGAAGACGGGCTTGTCGTCCTTGGCGTTGGTCTTCTCCTTGACGAACTGCTGGTGCTTCTGGAGGAGCTCAGGGCGGAGCTTGACGTTTCCGGGCTTGTAGACACCGTGTACATTTCCGAAGCCGGCAGCAATGGAGAAGTACTTGGACACTTCCGAGAGGCTACGTACGAAGTCAGTATATGTCTTACATGCACTTCGAACGGTCAAAACTTACCTCTTGAAGATGTCGTAGATGTCCTCTGGTCTAGAGAGGAGTTAGTACGGTACTAAGGTGAGATTTGTAGAGGGGCGTGGCATACTGGGTGTACAAGCTGTTGTTGTCAACGTCCTCGTTGTTGACACCGTCCTCCTCACCACCAGTGATGCCGATTTCCATCTCGAGGAATTGCTTCATGGGGGCAGCGCGCTCCAGGTACTTGCGTGTTGTGGCGATGTTCTCCTCCTTGCTCTCCTCCGAGAGATCAATCATGTGGGAGCTGAAGAGAGGGACGCCTACAGAGATACCAAGTTAGTAGTTGTCTCCATGCACTTCGTACAGCCAGAACTTACCATTGGCCTTGAAGAACTTCTCATCCTCATCGAGCATGCCGTCCAACCATGGCAGAAGCTTCTTGGCGCAGTGGTCGGTGTGGAGGACAACTGGGATGCCGTATGCTGGAGCAATAGCGCGGATGTAGTGAGCACCAGCGATAGCACCCTGGATGGAAGCGCTCTGGTCCTTGTTGTCGACGCCCTTTCCGGCGAAGTATGCGGCACCACCCTGGCTCATCTGCAGGATGATGGGGGACTTCGCGTCTCTTGCGGCCTCTAGAGAGGCGACAACGGTCGAGGAGGAGGTGACGTTGATGGCAGGGATGGCGTAGCCCTCGGACTGGGCGTGCTTGAAGAGGTTGTAGACATCTTCACCGTAGATGACACCAGTCCTAGAGGGGGAGATGTTAGCTTCAGGTCGCGATCATGCGAGCGGGGTCGATGTAACGTACTTGCCGTTAAGGACCTTGGAAGCCATGTTGATTGTTGTATCGGGTGTGTACTGGGTTTGTGTTTGTGTGTGTAATAGAGGGTACAATTCAGTATCTGAAATTGCAGAAAGGTGTGGTATGGAGAGAGAAGTTTGCGCAGTGTTGAGAGCTATCTAGTTAAAGTTCAAACATGGTAGTGGGGTTGCCGGACCACAAAAACCACCCCGCTAATGACCGCAGCAGTGACGCAGCGTGCAGCGTCGCGCCAGCTTCCCTCACCCAAACTCGACCTACCCACGCTCGAGTAAAAGCAAACCTCACCCCACAAAAGTCCCGATACGCTATATCTGATGCGATGACTTTTGAGTCGTCAAATTCTTTCTATACCATGATGGCGCTGCGCTGTATCACTGCACTCCCGACAGTGGGTGATGGCTGTGCGCAGTGACATGCGCCTGGTCTCTTACACGATGATGCTTCACGGCCGCGCTCTGAAGTCATGGCGGGGCCGCTTTCGCTCGGCAGCGCGGAAGTAAAGTGGACTGTCTTTTTCACATTAGCTCGGTGAAGCATCATCGCAGTCCACAGGTGACATGTTGCCCGAGTCTCGCCGCAAAACGCTATCTCTTTACGCCTCGAATTACCGAGCCAGCCACTTCTTCCATGTTACTCAGCTCCGTCAGGGCAGGCGCCAGGTCCCACCAATTAAGTCGCTCTGATGATGCTGAACTAGACACATGCGCGATATCGTGATCGTGATTGAGGTGTTGTCTGATTTTTCCGATATGCGGAATTCTACATGACATGGATGGCACAGGTATATGTTTACAACGAGGCGGAGGGATCCTCGGAAGGTGTAGTTCTGGGCCTTTCCAGATGTCCGAGGTTAGGGTCTAGGACTCGTAACAACCGGCTGCTGCAGCCTCATGATTCCGATGTCTTTGCTCTAACTCGGATATTCCTCACGATAGGCTCCTCTACGCCGGGTAGCCGTATCTCCAACTTGAATGTGCCCAGCTGCTTCACACGCGATGTGTCGCCCTCCTCATGCCCTGAGAGGAACTTGACGTCCGCCTCGTTCAGTATTACGCGAGCCGCCTCATCGTTGTGGGCGAGCGCGCCTCTTATAGTTGAAACCAGATCTGCAGTCGAGACGGATCCGTAGATAGCGTCTACAGATGCCTTCTTGCCCATCGCAGCTGCGGTCAGGACGTCTGCCGCACCAGAAGCACCCATGCGATCTCTTGACTGGCTCTCCTGCTCGATTCGTTGGCGGTAGAAGTCGATCGTGGGTGGTACGAAGGCGTCGAGGAGTTCCATAGATCGTTCCGGCTGCTCTTGTTAGTATGCGTAGGAATGACGGTCGTATATGAACATACGCTGAGCACGTTGATCTCAATCGGCCGCACGTAGTGTTTCGGCTGCTTCGCGAAGTCGTCCTCCTCTTCCTCCACCTCCTCCAGATTCAGTCTGACGCCATACGAGAAGTCACGGGCAAGGTCCACGTCCTGCGCCTTGAGCTGCTTCATCTGGGTAGCGGGTACATAGTCGGCGACGCGTGCGGGAAACCATCGGTTGCGCATGAGAGACGGGTTGAGGGGAACATATGAGCCTTGATCGTATTAGCCATACTGACTGGTGATGTCTGTGGTCAGTTTGACAGCTTCAGTGGCTTGCCAGAGTGCACATGTCAAACTCGTGCAGTAGCTGCATCGTACCTGCGCGACCAAATCTTGGCACATCCTTCAGCAGCTTCACGATGATGTTGCGCTCTGCCTCCTTCGCCTTCTTTGAGATGCTGCGAGTCTGCTGGGACCCCCAAACGTCCAAATTTTGCCGCGTCACCCTCCGTATGCATGACGTGCACTGCGGGAGCAGCGTGGACGTCCTCAGCGAAGCCATTGCGCGTGTCGTGGTGAGATTGGATTAATCTCAAGAAAAATGCACGATGTTCATCAGATGTGGAGATCCTTGCGACGGAGGGCGGAAGGTGCGAGTGGCCGGTGCTACTTGCCGTAGGCTCGGCATACTTTGCGCCCGCCTCACAAGCAAACGACAGATGACGGCCAGCGCAATATCCCAAGCTGGCCAGCAGTCAGACCATGGCTTCTGCAGCAGCCAGACACACCCTACGCCTTGCCCATAGCATCTTCGCCGTACAACCTTAGCACGACCGAGCACAGCGTTCGCGACACCCTACACGACCCCAGTTTCTCCATCCAATCCCGCGGTAGCGGAAGTGACAAGCGCCGCAAGATGCCTGAGAAGCCCCTCACAATTGCAACCTACGCCGCAGGAGCCTCCCTCGCCGCCATTACCCTCGTCTATGTCTTTGGCCCGACGTATTTCCTCGACGACGACGCAAATGCAGCCAGCGGCAAGAAGAAGGGCGTAGTCGGCCTCAGCAATGCCGCCAACGACTGCTTCATCAATTCGGTGCTGCAGGCGCTCGCGGGCTTGCCAGACTTGCGCATATATCTCATAAGAGAGACGCATAGGCGCATGCTCGACGGACCCGAAGTTTATGATGTGGACCCCGACAGACTCAACGCCGAGACAGGGACCGCAAGGCCTGCAAAGCTAGAGGGTCTGCAGCGAGGCATCCTCACCCATGGACTCAAGGAGATTCTCGACCGGCTGAACGAGCGACCCATATACAAGAAGACGATATCTCCCCAGCCCTTCATCCGATCGCTCGAGCACGCATTTGGCACCCGCATCAGCCGGCAACAGCAGGATGCGCAAGAATTTCTCCAGATCGTCACCGAGCGCCTATGCGACGAGTACCACGCCGGCGGAAAGGCCAGGCGACAGGCTACACGGGCAGGCGCTACGATCACAACCGAAGACGGCGCATCAGAAAGGAGGGACATTGAACGTCAGTTCGGCGCGGCACCCCCTGAGGGTTCTGGTAGCAATGGTGCAGAGGAAGAGCCGGAGGACGATGAAGCACCCGCGGATGAGGAGGGCTTCCCGTTTGAAGGCAAGATCGAATCGCAGATTGAGTGCCAGACATGCCACTTCAAGCCGAAGCCTTCCGTATCGACCTTTGTCACCCTGACACTCAACGTACCGCAAGCCTCCTCCACCTCCCTCAACGCCTGTCTCGACGGAATGCTCAAGGTCGAATACATAGACGACTTCAAGTGCGAGCGCTGTCGGCTGGAGCATGCGCTGAGGAGCAAAGATCACCAGCTCTCGCGGGCCACCGACTCGGATGCACAAGCGCTCTTACAATCAGACATCGCGAAGATCCGACAAGCATTAGAGGACGACCCTGAGAACCCGCCTGAGGGCGTTGAACTTCCAGACTCAAGCCAGGCACCCAAGCGTCGCATAGCGCGCCACATGTACATTTCGCAATTCCCCAAGGTTCTTGCGATACATCTGTCGCGATCGACGTTCGCCATCGGTGCTGCCTCCACAAAGAATCTCGCCAAGGTCGCCTTCCCCGAAGCTCTACCATTGGGCGGAATACTACACCGGAAGAACTATCGTCTTCTTGGGATGGTCACACACAAGGGCAGCCATAACAGTGGTCACTACGAATCCTTCCGTCGTCAAGTCCAGCCTCTTCCGTTCTCCACGAATGCGACACTTGGTACTGAAGGCGCATACAGCCGACAAGCCAGCCCATACCCGTCAGCAGCACCCTCTGTAGCGCCCTCAGCTGTGCAAAGCCCTCGCATATCAGCACTAAATCTTCCCAACACCATCGACCGCGGATCGCCAGTCCCATCCACACCCACGTTGAATTCGCCTTCAACACGGTCGCTTTCCTCACAAGATACCGTACCTGCCTCGTCGAGAGGGCCAGCACCAACTTCTGCGCCGCGTATGTCCGAGTCTGATCCACTACAAATGGCATCTTCTTCCACTGAAACAGGAACCGGAAGCGATTCCTTGTCACGTACGAGAAGTGTGCGATCGCTTAAAGAGCGGGCTTCGGAGAAAGCTTCATCAATAAAAGAGTCAAATCCTCTCCGGCGAAAGTCAAAGAAGACGAGCAATAGGTGGTGGCGTATAAGTGATGACAAGATCAAGGAGAGTAAGACATCCGAGGTCTTGAACATGCAGAAGGATGTATATTTGCTATTTTATGAGTTGAACAAAGTCTGAGCTACTTCTGAGTGGCTATTGTATAAAGGAAGGACGGGCATGTGGCACTGCATCTTTGAGTGATGCCGGTGGTGACGATGTAGCAGGAAGGCTTGGATTAGATATCACTCGCTATGAAAGCGAAACACGAATGAAGACCGTGTGACATAATGCAATCGAAGCAAGCTATGACAATGTCCAGGTTTTCCCCACGTCGAAAGCTATGTGCACTTCCCCAAACCACTCATGCTGGCCATGAATGGTGGATGCTACCTCTATCTCGTGGCTTTATCAGCGATGATATCATTGGTTCAGACCCCACGTGGCGCTCCGTCCCCAACAGCAACATCCAGTAGTGAGAGTGCCTAGCCTGCAATGCAACCACGTCGATACTACACTCGTAGTTCAACCTCACATTTCCCCTCATCTGTGTTGACCAGTCACCTGAAAAGGCGATCACAGTGCGCATCTGCCAATTGGTCTGCCCTTCAAGTCGCCTAAACCCGCATTCATTACGACGAGTAGAAGGAAATAAACAAACACATAAGACACAAGCCTGATTGTTCTGCTTCTGATACCAGACTGTCGCTCATCAGGCTCACACAGACTGCGTCAAAGTTTTGAGCAACGACAGCCTTAGCAGTCCAAGTCTGCACTCCATTAGTCTCTAGTCTTACTCCGAACCGTTCCTTCCTCATCCCAATCCAATCTTCGATACTATCTCAAAAATATGCCAAGCCTCGAAGAAGACGAGAGCGCCTTCCTCCAAGCTGTGGGGAAAGAGACCTTCACCAATCCACCCCGCGTCCTCATCATCGGCGCAGGAAGTCGTGGCACAGCCTACGCTGAAGCGGCACTATCTTCAACCAACTCCATCATCGCAGCGGTATGCGAGCCTAACGATTACAAGCGCGCCGATTTAGGTCGCAAGTTCATCTGGGGCGACGGGAAAGAACCTAAAGATTGCCAAGTATTCCGCGGTTGGAAGGAATGGAAAGGGTACGAGACGAAGAGAAGAGAGCAAGAAAGTGCTGGTCATGACGTGGAGAAGGGCATCAATGCAGTGTTTGTATGCGTGCTTGATGAGATGCATGAGGAAGTCGTCTGTGGTATCGCAGATATGGGCGTGCACATCTCGTGCGAGAAACCGATGAGTACGAGATTGGATAGCTGCATGAGAATGTACAGGGCACTCAAAGCACCGGTCGGTAGAGGTGAGGCCAAAGAAACGATTTTCGGTATTTGCCACGTGTTACGGTACTCGCCTCATAACATGTTACTGAGACATTTGGTACTGGAGAAGGATGTCATTGGAGATGTTTTGAGTATTGAGCATGTTGAACCTGTGGGTTGGTGGCATTTCAGTCATTCCTACGTGAGGTACGGTGTCCATTTTCACTCCCATTTACCCTATCGCTAACGAGAGCAGAGGTAACTGGAGGAAAGAGTCCAAGACTGCGCCATCGCTGCTTACAAAGTCTTGCCACGACATCGATTTTCTAATGTGGATGCTCTGCTCGCCTGGACCGAACACTGAGAATGCGACACCTCATCTTCCATCACACATCACATCTACCGGTTCTCGTAAATTCTTCCGTAAAGATCGCAAGCCGAAAGCGGCTGGCTCAGCTACAAACTGCCTATCCTGCGCATACGAGCCGGAATGTGACTATAGTGCGAAGAAGATCTACCTCGAACGACACCTTAACAACGGCAATGCGGATTGGCCAGTGAAGATCGTAAACCCAGAGATTGAAGACATCTATAAGACCTCTGGCAAGGAAGCAGCCGGAAAGCAGCTTCTCAAAGACTTGGCCGAGGACTATAGCAATGAGAAACCGATTGGTAAAGTTGAACAGCGCCCATGGTTTGGCCGATGCGTCTGGGAGTCGGACAACGACGTTTGCGATGACCAGATGGTCACTATCACCTGGGATGATGATCCTATTGCAGAAGATGATGACGGTCTACCTATACTGCACGGTCGGGGCGCAAAGACTGCGCAATTCCACATGATCGCTTTTACAGAGAAGCAATGCGAACGACGGGGCCGCATCTACGGCACGAAGGGTGAGATTGAGTACGACAGCAAGAACATCAAAGTACACAACTTCTCAACCGGGCAGACCAAAACCCACAGCCCCCATCTCGCAGGCGGTGGTCACGGGGGCGGAGACGAGGGGCTTGCGCGACAATTCCTGGTGGCGGTTAACGCTGTCGACTCTGGCGCCATGCCCGCGTCAGACGCTCAGCGGAAGTATCTCGGATGCGACCTTGAGGAAGCGTTCCGGAGCCATGCCATGGTCTTCGCGGCCGAAGACGCTCGAACGAAGCGCCAGGTGGTCGACTGGAAGAAGTGGTGGACCGAGTCGGTGGAGTCGCAATTACACGAGCGGTAACTACCTGGCATGATGACAATTCAGGCGAGCAAGGAGAATACGAAAGCAGTTTCTTTTCGGTCGCCGAAGATGACGGCAAATGTACGTAGGCGCCTAGATCAAGGCATGACCATCATGACATCGGATGAGGCTCTTGCGAAGCTCATGAAACCGAAATGAGGGCTGCCAAACCTCGCGCCAATCCGCTGTCAGCGTTCGATGAAGCAATACTAGCCCCAGGCACGTTTGATAGTTAAGCTCCGCTTTCAGGCAATTAACGGCCATTTCTCAGCCGGTTTCGGCTCGTCTGGGCTATATTTGGTGATCATGCTAAAGGCTAATACTTCCGCTTAGGGGTGGACATGGGCGCTTAATAGACCATGAGGCTCAAGGAAGACTATGGGTAGGGCTGGAAATTTTCTCCACGAGAGCGTTTCCGGGTGCAACGTTTGATAGTACAGGCGCTTGGATTGGCAGATGGGTTGGGGCCAGTCAGATTGCCTGGTTCGTAGTACATTGGACGAGAACGACACTCGCGCTATCTTCGGGAGCGTCCGAACGTCAGTTTGCGCTGCTTCGTAGGTCATGCTCAAGACGCCGCTGGGGGCTGTGCATAGAGTCGAAGTCGCATGGCATGGTGGATGCCAGCGCAGCAGGTGGGCGAGGCCCGAGACCCGGAAGAAACTTGCTTGACAACAACGCGGTGAACGCGTCGACGTGTGGGCGGTCTAGGAAGCGTGTTATAGTCGTGAATACACTCTCTCCGCCCATTGTGAGTCACTCGTTCGTGCATGGCGGGCATGCGGGAAGACGCATATCGCTCCGCAGAAACGAAACGCTGGAGCGTCGTGGTCCAATCAAGCCACTCTCGTCCATCGATGACTCTTAACGGGCTGCAGCTGCCCCACGCAGCGCGGGACCCAGCACGGACGACACGGCAGGCGCTAAGCGGACAACACCACGACCGTCGATTCGTCCCTTCGCGCTGCCAACGTCAAACTGCCGCCCCAGCGCCCATCGAGAAAAGTCCCTCAGTGTACTACGACACTAGAAGTCTGCTATGCGGCGCCGAGGCTGCCGGTTTCAGGTTATCCAACCGCCCCATGTGCAGGCGCGTCGCTGGCCCGCTTACCGCTTCGGTATACCACTTCATCGCTGCAGCCATTGACAGCGCAGCATTCCATGCCGCCATACTACATCGAGTATGCAACACTGCAAGAATAGCAGACCCAGAGTCGTTCGCTAGCCACGTACTCGCCCAAGCCAAGCAGCAGCCACGCTATGTTTCAGGCGCCTCGTGAGGCTCGAATGCTGTAGAAGGATGCTCTGATACTGCCGCCAGACCGCCAGAACGTAGTCTACCGGTCCAAGTCCCCGGGTGCTGGCCCTTCGATGGATCGTGTTTCAGATGTTTTAGCGCGAAGTGGGCGTTGGTTCTCGTGTCTCTACGCGGGGAACAGTAAGGATAAGAAGTCTGTCTGCGCCGCAATCAGCCAGTCCATCAGCTTCTTCAAGCACTTCATTTAGAGCACTGCCCGACGAGTCGATCGTGTCTCATTTCCTTTTCTTTCTCCATCTTTTGCGCTTTTGTCTTAGACACCTAGAGCTGGCCTCTTCTATTAATCGCTATTCGATAATCTCTTCCTGTTACTATTCTCAGTCTCCACAGCGTAAGTCCTTGTTTCTACTCTCGGATTGATTCATTGGTGCTAATTAGAAGCAGTCCGGTAGCTTCACATCATTCATCATGTACAGCCGTCAAACAACACCCCCGACTGCTCCCTTCAACTACATCCCGGGCAGCGTCGGCTCGGACGTCACATACTACTCTCAGGCCTCATCACCAGAACCTCACATCTCTGGTCCTACTCCTCCACGGTCACCAGTTCGCCAATATGGACCTATCCTCCTCCCCAAGGTCCGTATGCAAGATCAGGTTGCCGAGCCCACCAGTGGCCCCATCAGACATCGCAGGACGACGTCTACTTCTTCCAGCATTGGCTATGCCTACAGCCCATACTCACGGCCGGCCTCGATGGTCCGCCGTGGATCCAGTCCTTTCAACCACAACATGCACAATGCTCACAGCCAGTTGACTTCTCCCGTGTCAACTGCTTCCTCATACGACTTCAACCTCTCCACTCTCAACTCTCCCATCACATTCGCACAGCAGCCCGAGCTTCCTCGCCGATCCTCGTATGTTGGATCGCAGTCTCGCTCCACTTCAGCTAGCCGAGCCCGCCATGATCGCTCCGGCTCTGCTGGAAGTATCGATGAGCAGGTCATCAGCCGGTATGGCTTCCCCACCTACCGCAACATGCCCAGCTATGTCACCGCTTCAAGTGCTCCCCAGTCCAACTTGAGCCTTGTCACCTCCCTTCCTTCTACATACTCCTCTGTCCAGGACATGCCCAGCTTCACCTCCACTTGCTCGCAAGACTTCACTATCCCTGAGTTTGAGGCTGCGCCAGCTGTTCAGTACCCCTCCTTCACCGATGTCAGCTTCGACAGCTTCCAGCAAGTCCCTGCTACATCTTCTCTGGTTGAGTATCTCTCCTCCACCAACCCCTCCCCATCTCTCGTTCGCCGCGTCACTAGCGCACCACGCGGCATCAACAACCATTTCTGGTGGGACATCCGCAACCTCCGCAGCTGGGAAGACTTCAACATCACCACCATCAAGTCGATTCCATCGGTGCTTCCTCTTCTGGAGGTTCCTGTCCCAGCGAACTACCTTCCCCAGCCTTGCCGCCAAAACCTGCAGCCAGAGAACGAGTCTGCGCTCCAAGACATCTGCACCAACTACTACGCCAACAAGGTCAACGCCGCTCTCAAGGTCGCTCAGGGTAACTCTCACATGGTCATGCGCGCCATCAAGCCCGTCGCCGGCCAACGCACACAACCCGAGTTCGTCTCCAACTACCCCTCCGACTACGAGAAGACTCTCTTCGGTGACAGCCGAGGCCGCGTGGTCGGTCTCGTCAAGTGCTACGATCAATGGAACACCGGCATGCGCAGCGAATCACCACCCAAGCAAGTTCTCTATCTCCAAGGTCTCGCTCACCTCCACCGTGTGATGCGCGAGCACGGCTGCCGCTATGGCTTCATCATGACCGAGATCGAGCTCCTCTGCGTCCGCTGCGGCGGCCCATCCTCATTCTCCACTCCCGACCCCACAACCGTCAATGCCCAAGCCGGTGTCCCCATCTACGGTTACCTAGAAACCTCTGCCCCCATCCGCCTCTCCACATCTGGGTCTCACCCTGAGACCGGCGACATCCAACTCACCGCCGCCCTTGCTCTTTGGTACCTCCACATGCTCGCCAAGGAGAACCCTTTCGAGGGCATGGGAACCTGGCGCATGGACGTTGGTGGCCCCGCGGCGTTGACGAGGCAGAACTACCTTGAGAAGGATACCTGGATTCCTAAGCCACAGCTTGGTGAGAAGAGGGAGGCGAAGAGGGTGAGGGGGTGGGTTTTCCCCGATGAGCCGCTCAGTAAGAGGGAGTGTGGCAAGGGCAAGAGGGGGAAGAGCATTGGTTAAGAGTTGTGTTTGGTAATTGCTTATGGGTTACGAGGTATGGCTATGAGGTATGATGGAATGACGGATGGGACATGAAAACACAGCTGCTGGTCAGCATAAGCTCTGCTTCTTTCTTGCATCGAGCGGCGTTTCTTTCTTGAGTTTAGCAGCATTGCACGGCGTTCTTCCATTGGGTAGCATTTACATGGCGCGCATTATTCTACAGATCAGATAGTATCTATTCTAGTTCAGAAGCAATGGTATTTCTCACCATCAATATCTTGGTTCTCATACTTGGTGTGACTGGTGTGACTGGTGCTTCCGAGTTGGCGCTCCTGAACGGTACCTTGGGCCCGCGGTACATCACGTGTGCTGGGGTTTGGGATGAGTCTTTGGGGTATGAATACTGCGCGGGATTCTGATACTTTGACTTCTTCATCATACTTCACATCCTGATTCACCAAAACTTCAAGTGGTGGCAACCATGAGAGTTTGGCTCCTTTCTCCAAAAGAAGCTCATGCAAGACATGTGACTGTCTTTCCGTCTTCCAAAAAGAACAGCAAGATACGCCAATGGCTACAAGTCTGCCAAACACGGCCTCCTATTACCAAAACTTCCACAAGGTCCTGCGGATGGACACGGAGAATCTGAGCGACCCCGGAAAACCAAAAATGCAGAGGATACACCAATGGCCTTCCGCCCTGCCTTGTCGCTTCCAAAAACCTACACAAACTTACGATATGTTTGGCGAACTCTCGAAAAAGTAGATCTTCGACTTGATATGACTGTGCTCTCTCCGTTGAGCTTATAAAATATCTCTCGATTACTCTGGGGTTTTCGCTTCTTCATTACACCTTCTTCTCAAAATACCGAAAACATTCTACGGTGACTCCTTGAAAATTTCCGCTGTTCAAACAACAATACAATACGAAAATATTGTCTTCTCTCCTCCTCTTCTCCACTGCGATTCTTCACCAAAAATCTGAAGGTCTTCTGGGAAGGAGAGCTCTGCGGCTCAGAATACAGCAGCGCTAACAACATGTTGTTCTTCTCGTCTCCTCCGGGCAAGAAAGATGTTCACCTTTTCCTTCGGCAAAACCCAGAAATAGGAAGCTTGAAGGACATGGAGAGATTCAGCGGTCCAAAATATAACATCGACAAATTCCATGTTGTGCTTCTCTCGTCTTCGGCCGGTAGATCAAGCGGTCAACCTTCATTGCCGCGAAACCCGAAACTTAGCACACCACATGTTATGGAGAGGTTCGTCGGTCCAAACAACAATAATGCCAACAGCATGTTGTCTTTCTTTCTTTTTTTCGCCCGGAAAGAAAGCTGATCAATTTCACTTTTGAAATTCAAAATGACAAGGCTATCTTCGTATGAGAAGCTCCTGCGACCCAAATACCAGAGACGACAATATCATGTTGTCCTCCTCTTTTTTCTCCCGGAAAGGAACTTGACAAGCATTATGTCTATGATCTGCCTGGTGCGACCAGAACCAAGATAGAGGCGTTTACATGTCTGTTGGAGAACCGACATGAAGAAAATAGTAGATCAGATCCCGACATGAAGTTGGCGTTTGGCTGATCTTGGACCAAAAATGGTTATAAGAAGCTGTGATGTCGGCGCTGCTTGTCCTGTCTGCCCTATATCTGGTCTCTTGAAACTACGCGTAAGGCTTCACATGTCTGCTAGCGCCTAGTCGACGGCCACATAACCTCCTCGCTTCTCTCGGTTTCTGGCTTTCGACATCACTTCCGCCTTTATCGTTTCCAAAATAAATCCAAAGAAAAAATGGTTCATGTGGCTGTCGGCCGTTTCAGATTCTTTCGAGAACGAACCTATGGAGTGTCGTGCGCGGTCCGAATTTCCAAAGGCATGAGAAAAGACTGGGTTGACCGAAAATCTGGAGTCGACGGATCCATGTGGGTGTGACGGAATATGCGCGTACTTTCTTAATACTACAAATCTAGCCTCCTATGATGCTGGAGTGTGCTGTCTGTCTTTCGACACAACGGAATATGCTTCAACGGAAAACAAGAATGAAGAAGTTCGTGTTGAAGCAGGAGACGTTGCGTCTCTCCACAGTCCGACTAGAGAAGCCACCGTACGCTTGTTAGCTATATAAACACCCTTACGGATCACTTCTTCTTTTCTTCGTCCCACCATCTTGAATCGAGTCCTCCAAAAAGCGCTCGAGAAAGGCCACATGTTCTCTCCTTCCTCTTCGCCTCCTTCAAAAACAAAAGATCCAAACAGCACCGTGATGGTGCTGGTCGGACTGATTTTCTGTCACTACATCAATGCGTCTGCTATGTTACTGAAAGTCTTCTGCGAGGCCGTGATGTCTTTGGCGTCTCGGCGCCTCTTTGAAATTGCGAGACAACATCCATATGGCGTCGATCGGGCGCTTCTTTCTCTCAAAAAACAACATCAGCGGCACATGGCTACTCGAAAAGCGTACTTGCGATATACGCCTGGCTTCTCCGTCCTCCGCTCAACGACCAAATGTATATCGAAACATGCCGTGATCCCCCCGGCGCATCCGATGTGGCGCTAGTATCCGTCTATCGGGTTGCGCATAAATACCACGTCTGCCAGCTCTTTTTCTCTTCATCATCTACATCCTCGATGAGATTACTAAAACTACTTTATTCAACTCCGATGACTGCGTCTGTTGCCTTTCTCCAAAATGCCCCATAGAACCATATGATGGCGCTGTCTTCCAACTTCTCTAAAACAAACATTGAGAGAATGTTGCCATGCGCGAGTCGGTCGGCAGCCCAAAAATTTCGTCAAACCACTGGACGGAACCGTATGCATGCATTAACATATTATGTTGGGTGCTGCTGTCAAGAACGACGAAGATGAAAAAGTCTGCTTCTCTGCTGCAGTTCTTACTGTACTACCTACATTCCATCGTGTTCCAAAAATGGGTTATCAGGGAAACTATGGAGAAGTTCCCTCGTCTGACCTGAAAAGGAAAATTGGTGAAGTTCATGTTCTCGCTGCCTCGTTGGGCGTTCAAAATGAAAGCATTACTGTCTGCTTTCATGTCGTTGTGCAGCTTTTGACATGCTATCATGCAGATGCTGCCGAATTTATTCAAAGTGTATGCTTCAAGAAAATGTCATCGTCTACTGGATGACTGACCGTTGCGATCTCTCAGTACGTAGATGTCCTCTTGACTCCACCTTTGCAACCTTCACACACTACATCCGTGGTTGGGATTGACAAAACAAAAAGGTACAGACCAAGGTCATGTGGCTCGTGTGAGAATCCTTCTAAAAGCATTCGAGCGTCGCTATGATGCATGTTGTGCGAATGCTAGTCACAGGTTCGCTGAACGTCTCCAATGTGTACTTGGACATTTCATGGGCAATAGCCGAGTGGCTCGATCGTGATGCCAATCAACATAACTTGAGCGTCGTGTCCATGGGGTTCATATTTTCTCGTTTCGCGGTTTCCTTGCAAAGAAGTAGCAGTCATGGATTTTGTTGACCGCGTTTTCGGACGTGACGTGCTGACATGTCGCTGGTACCTTAGCTGTGGCGCTGCGCACCCAGCGAGCATGCTTGCTGCATGTGCGAGCGCAAGCCTCGGGTGATTGTGGCAAAGATATAAGGTTGTGATGCGGATGCACTTGATCCGGCAGTGATATTATTTGCCGATAGGTTCTAGGCGCAGGCATGAAGGTCTAGATCCTGTACGAGGACGAACACGACGAATGGGTAGGAGTGTGGTTTGAGATGGGTGCTGCTTTGTGTATTGCTTCAGGGTCCTCCTCCCTATGTTAACGGTGCCTGCAGTGTACGCTACTTCGATGATGCAGGGTACTCAAGATCTAATGGTAAGTATGAGGCTGCAGGTACGGCTTTGTCTACGAGCTAAGGCGCCGCTATTCGCCGGTGAACGCTGTGCGCATTCTAAGCAGTCGGCATTTGGATGGTCGCCATGATTTCGCACGATGCACGTTGGGTCGCTGGAAGGAACGACCAAGGTCGCGTGTGGTGATGAGTAAAAGCATGCATCGTGGTGGTCAAAGACAGGGACAGTGCATTGACCGCCACGTGCGCTAACGATGCTAGGAGGGAAAGCCGCGATTCTGATCCACACAAAATTAACTACTGCCCCTCCATCATCACGTCCCGCACAAGCTGCACAAGCCCGACGAGGCGCAAAATCGAGGGAAAAAGCACGCGTGCCTTTATCCTGACACAGTCCCTCCCGCCAATTCTTACCCCAACGCGCTGCTTGCGGGTGCAAAGACAGCAGGAATCTCGCCCGAACCCCCACTGCCCTTTCTCACCGCACCCACCCGCCGTCTTGCTTAGGCCATCCCAGACCACCGCAGACGTTGACGCACATTCGCAACCATGGACGTTGCCGGCCTGCGGGACCGGATCCAGGCGACGCTTGACGCGAACGCCGCCATCAGACAGCAAGCCGAGCTCGATCTCAAGCATGTGCGTGTTGAATGCCGGAATGCTGCCTGCGAGACGGAAAACTGATAGACATATAGGCCGAAGAAAAGCCAGGCTTTGTCGATGGTCTGCTGAACGTCCTCGAGCAGGAACAGAACAACGCCGTGCGCCTGTCGAGTAAGGATGCGCCTGCTTTTGTCCCCGTAGGCCCTGGTTACTAACCTATATCCACAGCCGTCGTCTACCTCAAGAACCGCGTCTCCAAGGGCTGGTCGCCTGCCGAGGAATACAGCCAGGCCATCCCCATACCAGAAGAGGAGAAGGCCGCCTTCCGCAGTCGCCTCGTCCCTGTCCTCGTCGCCTCCCCGCCACAAGTGCGCATACAGCTCATTCCTACCCTCCAAAAGATACTCGCATACGATTTCCCCGCCAAATGGCCCGACTTCCTCGACATCACTGTACAACTGCTGAACGCGGGAAACATCGAGTCAGTCTTCGCCGGTGTCCAGTGCCTGCTAGCGATATGCAAAATCTACAGATTCAAGTCGGGCGAGAACCGGGCAGACTTCGACAAGATCGTCGCCATGACATTCCCCCAGCTGCTCAACATCGGTAACTCGCTAGCTGGCGAGACGAGTCTAGAGGCTGGAGAAATATTACGGACGGTGCTCAAGGTGTACAAGCATGCCATCTACGTACGATCCAGCAAACACAACATGTGGTCGGCAGCTAACAAGACCGCAGTTCGACCTCCCCGCATCCCTCCGCGAGCAGCAAGTCATGGTTGGTTGGTGTACACTCTTCTTGACCGTCGTCGGCAAGGAACCCCCGGAGACGTCTCTCCCCGAAGATCTCGACGATCGGGAAATAAACCACTGGTGGAAGGCGAAGAAGTGGTCGTACGCGAACTTGAACAGACTGTTCGTCAGGTACGCGACACGATACTGCACGCATCAAGCTGGCTCGGCTAACAGGGAACAGGTACGGCAACCCGTCCGCGCTCGGCAAGAACAACGAGATCGACTACACCGAAGTAGCCAAGACCTTCATCACGAACTTCGCTCCCGAGATCCTCAAGGTCTACCTCCAGCAGGTCGAGAAGTGGGTCGGGAAGCAAGTCTGGCTGTCAAAGGCCAGCTTGTACTACACACTCAACTTCCTCGACGAGTGCGTCAAGCCCAAGTCCATGTGGACTCTTCTCAAGCCACACACCGACAACCTCATCGCGCATCTCATCTTCCCAGTACTGTGCCAGTCGGACGAGGACATTGAGCTTTTCGAGGAAGAGCCACAAGAATACCTGCACCGGAAGCTGAACTTCTACGAGGACGTAACCGCACCCGATGTCGCAGCGACAAACTTCCTTGTCACACTCACGAAGAGCCGTCGTAAGCAGACGTTCACCGTGTTGAACTTTGTAAACGAGGTCGTCAACCGGTACGAGGCCGCCCCCGACAATGAGAAGAACCCACGAGAAAAGGAGGGTGCTCTGCGCATGATTGGCACACTCTCTGGTGTCATACTGGGAAAGAAGAGCCCGATCGCAGACCAGGTTGAATACTTCTTTGTCCGCCATGTCTTCCCCGAGTTCCGCAGCCCCCACGGTTTCCTTCGTGCGCGCGCATGCGACACGCTTGAGAAGTTCGAACAGCTCGATTTCAAGGACCCGAACAACCTCATCATCATCTACCGCAACATTCTCGAATCCATGGCCGACCCGACCCTCCCAGTCCGTGTCGCCGCTGCTCTGTCACTGCAGCCTCTCATCCGCCACGATGTCATTCGCACCAATATGAAGCAAAACATTCCCCAGGTCATGCAGCAACTCCTGAAGCTCGCCAACGAAGTCGATGTCGATGCGCTCGCAAACGTTATGGAGGACTTCGTCGAGGTCTTCGCCCCGGAACTTACACCCTTCGCTGTAGCGCTCAGCGAACAATTGCGTGACACCTACCTGCGTATTGTGCGGGAGTTGGTATCAAGGAACCAAGAGAAGGGCGAAGACAGCGAGTACGGCGACTTCCTTGATGAGAAGAGTATCACCGCGCTTGGTGTATTGCAGACGATTGGAACTCTTATCCTTACGCTCGAGAGCACTCCCGACGTCCTCCTGCATCTAGAGACCATTCTTATGCCTGTCATCACCATCACGCTCGAGAACAAACTCTATGGTACTTGACCCCGAAACTCAATCCTTCATCTCATATACTAATCCGATCACAGATCTATACAATGAGGTCTTTGAGATCATTGACAGCTGTACCTTCGCCGCCAAGAGCATTTCCGCCACCATGTGGCAAGCGTTTGAGCTAATACATCGGACGTTCAAGGCTGGTGCCGAGCTATATCTAGAGGGTATGCGCGATCTTCCCTGCAAACCACGATAATTTTGCTGACCATGTATAGACATGCTTCCCGCGCTCGAGAACTTCGTCAACTACGGTACCCCAACTTTGATCCAGAACCGGTCATACCTCGATGCCATTGTCGACATGGTCAGAACAATCTTCAAGGACGACAAGGTTGGCGGCGTTGATCGCATCTGCGGTTGCAAGCTGGCTGAGATCATCATGCTCAACATGCGTGGCCATGTTGATGACTACGTCCCGGAGTTCATTGGACTTACCATGCATGTCCTGATGAACGATGAACCTAAAGTTAAATCCTTGAGGATACATCTCATGGAAGTGGTCATCAACTCCATCTACTACAACCCTGCCCTGGCACTGCACGTACTGGAGACGAACGGTTGGACGAATAAGTTTTTCAGTCTCTGGTTCTCGAGCATCGACAACTTCACCCGAGTTCACGACAAGAAGCTGTGCATCTCCGCAATCTGCTCCCTCCTTACCCTATCAGCCCAGAATGTCCCTGTCAGTGTACAGCAAGGCTGGCCACGTCTATTGCAGGGTGTTACCCGGTTGTTCCAAACCCTCCCCGCAGCCTTGAAAAGTGAGTTTGCATTCTGAGTCATCCCACTCGCAATGACTAACAAGTGTACAGACCGTGAGGAAGCCAAGAAGGAAGACACCTTTGACTACTCCGCCGAATTCGAAGAAGAGGAAGACGAGGAGTGGGAACAAGAAGCCGACTGGAACAACGAGGCGGACGAGACTGAGGATGTCAAGGACGAGAGTGCCGCTTACCTGGATTTCCTTAACGAGGAGGCAAGTTCAGCATTTCTGATGTTCAAAGTTGCAAGCTGACCAAAACAGGCGCAAAAGTTCAGTTCGCTCGACGATGATGACGACGATGAGCTAGAAGAGGAGAGTCTCCTCGAGACACCGCTTGACAAAGTGGAGCCATATGGCATGTTCAAGCACGCATTGCTCCGTAAGTACTGCTCATCGAGTTACGCTAGAGCTCATACTGATCGTACTCAGGTCTTCAACAGGAGCAGCCCGCGCTTTACGAGAACCTCACCAAGAACCTCAGCGCAGAGGAGCAACAAGTGGTTCAGGGTGCTGTTCACCAAGCCGACATTATCGCCCAAGTCCACGCCGAAGCTCAAGCAGCTGCTGCCAACGGCCAGCCAGGCTTACCGCAGCAGTAGAGTTGCTCCATCGATAGCATGGCCTTCATCCTCCAGGAGTTTGCTGATCGAGCATGGGTCGCTCAAAACGCCACCCCAACAATCGCCCCAGATGCTTCTGGAGAAGCATGGCTCAAGGACGTAGCCACAAGGTTGTCTCATCCATGTTGGGACGATGTACAACTATATGGCAAAGAACTACTTGGAGCTCCGGCAAACACCACTCGGCGCACTTACAAGACCGAAAGGAGGAGGTACCACAAGTTATCTGTGGAGGGAGCTGTGCGACAGTTCAAAGAAGGGGCAAACTAAACACTGTGGAGCCTACATCGAGGCCAGATTTTTCAATTTGCATGTTTTATCTCAGTGTAGTCTGCAAACCTGTTAAGTCTCTTCTTGGTCAGGTGGGCCTACGTAGTAGCTGGACCCCCCCCCCTCCTTTTCTTTTAGCGAGCATTTTGGCGTTTTGATTCTTGCTGGGAAGAAGTTTTGGAACCGGAGGTCTGCTCCGGTGATAGTTGATGGAGGTGGTGTAGTTATGGCGTTGGTTTGGTTGGTACGAATGTTATGAAAAGAGGAGGACGATATCCACGAGAGGCACCATTGCTTTGGAATGAAATCATGTATGTGTGATGAGGTTGTTGCAAGGCCCATAGGCCACAATAGATAGTGTTTCCTCTTATAGGAGCAGATTATGTAAATCCGTTACCTTAATATGAGACTACTACCCCGTATGAGGCCGAGACTGAACAGGTGTCCTGTATCCAATGTCCAATCGTTCGATCATGTCAGTTCTGGTACGGTTTCCGCGGTACCATCTCCGTCGTGAGTTCGTGATCATGTGCTCGACGGTACCTTGGGTGTTTCTTCGCTACTATGAAGCCCTCTCCTGGCCACGTCGCGATTGCGCAGGCAGCAGCGAGCACAAAAGCAAAACCGAGTGTCTTCAATACACTGGATGACACGAATACTCCAGGCAATGTTGTATATCTTCTCGCATAGCTCTTGCCTGCTCCTTTATCCATCATCCTCATCTTCCTCATCTGAAGCTCCTCCATCATCACATACCCAACCACCCAAAGTACCACTCAAAGTCATTGCAATCAGATCATCACGAGACGAACGCGCACACAAGAAGCTCCTCCATCTTATCACTTCACTGCAACGCGAATTTCGTAATCGCCAGTGACAATCTGTACGCCAGATTGGCGAGTCGCTGTTGCCCTGCCGATCGCGAGGGAAAGTCGCGGCGCGCGCGCTATCGATAAGCCACGGGCTGGAACTATGACGCTTGTTTGATTATCGCAACCCGAAACGTGGTAACAAGCATCGCGCCCGCAGCCTCACTCGCACAACACCTATTGCTGCCTCGAAACAATTCCTCATCCCTACGCGACTCTCGAATCTCGCGACTATCTCTCCGGTCGATCTTTCCCCTTTCCTGCGACTACGCCTGGTTGAGAAGCGTGAACTAGTGAGGCACACGATTGCGCGCGCAGGAAACTAGATATGTCGCGTCCGACTGTTAGCAAGGCGAGGACGGAGTATCCGATATTCGCTGCTAATTTTGCGAGCAACAGGCCTGGGGTCCTCGTTGTAGGAGGTATGTTATCCTCATGCCGACATCGCCAACAAGACTGACTCGAACACAGGTGGTGGGGGTGTGAGTACCGACTCTATATCAAGACGCGATTGATACGCCTACTGACCACTTCTCATATCAGGCTGGACGATCCGGTGTCAAGAACCAAATCACAGCATTCGACTTCACCTCACGAGCGCCGACTGTACAACCATTCGCAGAAATCGAAGCGAGCAAGGATGACTCGATAACGTGTTTGGATAACCTGTCTACAAAAGATGGCCTCATCTTGTTCGCTGGAAACAACAGCAGTGAGAATGACCGGCTAAAGGGTAATAATGAACATCTGAGGGCATTCGAGCTGAAGTATTCGAATATTGCTGAAAAAAGAGATGGAAACGTTGAGTACCTCAGCAAGACAAAGCTCTTCACTGCACCACAATCGAGTTCCGCAAGAAAGGAAGCCTACCAACGTATCGTGAAACTCTCGAAACCACAACGATCGAACTCGAATACACCCAGCAGACGGATCGGAGCGATCGCATCAAGTCTTGGAGACGATAACGAGGTCGTGATCTTTACTGCTACATCTACGAGACCTACGGATCAGGACATAATAGGGCGGATCAGTTTACACAACGGCCAGGAAGCGAACGATTTGGACCTTTGGACACAAGAAGAAGGGAAATATCAGCTAGCTTACGTCACCGATTCGGAAGTCTTTGTGCAGGCTGTCAACTGGGATTTCGACACGAAGAAGTCCAAGGGGAAGAATGAGCACAGGAAGCTCTATACGATACCGCACATCGAGAAGGGCGCGAGGAGTAAGCTGCGGTGTGTACGATGGCTCTCGCCGAAACACTTGCTACTTCTGAAGAATAAGCCTGGCAGAACTGGTGTTGAGTTGCTTCTTATTCATATTTACGAAGAAGGCCCGGCGAGTGTCGTTTTGCGGAAAACACTGCCTAAGCATGTCAAAGCAGCTACAGACATGGACGTCAGCTTGCTAAATGCAGATAAGGATGGCGCCTATCAAATTGCGATTGCGATCGCAGCGATTGACATATCCTTGACGGTGTATACGATGGACTACCATGGACCTGCCAGAGATTCTCTGAGCTCGTTTCACGCATTCAACAGCTATGATAACGTAAGCGTAAAGACACCAGAAGAGTCCTACACATACTAACGAAAGCAGGTTCACGAGGTGCAAATGACTAAGGTTGTCTTTTCGCCATTCTACAAGCCCGAAGTGCCAGCTGGTCGTCAAGCGCCACCCCAGTATCTGCGTCTGGCGAGTACGTCTTTGGGAAACACAATCAGCGTGGAAACCTTCCAATTACAGGACATCGGATCGCGCTATGTCCTCCAGACGGCGCGTTCGAGAAACATGTTTACAGCAGCAACCTATCTCGTGATTGCGATGGTAGTCGCGGTGGCCGCTCTCCTGATTCAGTCACTCATAGATCCAGAGGGCAACCTTACCAAAGGCATACTTCCCGCCAGTCTGCAAAATGCAGCAAGCCAGCACAAGACGTTTGGTGAGACATTGCGCGAGAAACGCCACAACGCTGTCCTCAACAATGCGGACTCACCGGTAGTCAAGACATCCCATCGGATTGCCGACCTACTACATCTCCACCTCCCTCACGTTCTCACCGACACCAAGCCATCTGAGCCATCCGGTCAACAAAAGGCGCTCGTCATACATCACGACCCCGAATCTGACGGTACGCTCAGCACTGAGGTTCATGCTGGAGACGAGGATGTCCTGAAGAAGCACGCCTCTGCGAGAAAGTGGGAAGAGCTCAGCCACGAAGAGAAGAGCCAATGGAAGGAGAAGCTGAGTGATGCGGGTATGTGGGCTGTGGGTGAGGGCGAGACTATCTTGAAGTCCATATTTTTCGGACAGATCGGTGGAGTCATTGGCCATGTTGCGGAGGGTGTATTGGCTGGCTAAGACGTGTCACGGTGAAAGAACGACCGCCCAATAGCCACGGATAGCTGCTTATATGGGCTTCATAGCAAGTGATACCTAATTCCTACTACCTGACATTATGGAACTCTATCAACGTGACGGTGCTCGGTGAACGGATGTGTATTATGTTCAGCGGGAAGTGTCTCTAACACTGGAGTGTTATTGGATCATGATGTGCACAACATCGACGCCGGTACTTTGCATATACGAAAACAAGTGCAATAGATAGCATGTGGTGTGATTGACCCAAACTTTTACCTTTGATCGTGCAATAGGCCTGGCCACACTCACCCGTTATCCTCACCGCGTTGCTAATCACGGGCGCGTTGGCTTGTGTTGCGGATCCCCGGTGTGCGCTTTGGGTTAGCTCCCGAGGCTCGCGTGAGGTCCATGCGCTAGTCCGCGTTCGTGACATACGGCTGCAGCGTCCAGTAACTTTGGCAACACCAATTGTCCCCACGCGCCCCTCTACCACACTCTTTTCACTCCTTTTCATGGATGGAGTGAGACCACAAACTCTTGCTGCGAAAGGCTTCCGTTGAAGCAGTCAAGATGTCGCAGCAGGGTCCCCTTTCGGCCAACCTGGACCGTATAGTCCACGACCTACGGTCAAAGTGAGCTCTATGAAGTACAACGATTGCGACAGGCGGCTGACAAATTAAGAAATGACGAGACGCGACAGCGAGCAGCAACTGCGCTGCGACAGCAGGTTGAATCGGCGCATCGAGGTGAGAGATAACGCGAAGCACCCCGCCCAAGCTACGGGAAACTGATGTTGTGCAGAACTCGCGCCCAACGTCTTCACCACATTCAACAATGAAGTCTACACCAAGATCTCGGGCCTCATCGTCACTGGTACCGACTCAAACGAACGCATCGGCGGCATCCACGCGCTCAACGCCCTGATCGACTTCCGCGGCGACGATGCGGGCCAGAAGACGACGCGGTTCGCCTCATACCTTCGGGCGGTAATGCGGGGTCAGGACATCACAGCCATGGTGGTCGCGGCCAAGGCCCTGGGACGACTCGCGAAGCCCGGCGGTACACTCACGGCGGAGCTGGTGGAAGCAGAGGTCAAGGGCGCATTGGAGTGGCTGCAGCTGGAGCGCCTGGAGAATAGACGCTTCGCCGCTGTCCTCATCCTGCGGGAACTTGCCAAGAACTCACCTACGCTCATGTACCAATGGATTGCGCAGATCTTCGAGGTCATCTGGGTCGCCCTACGAGATCCAAAGGTCCTCATACGGGAGTCCGCCGCAGAAGCGATCAGCGCCTGCTTCGAGATCATATCCCCCCGCGACTCGCAGATGCGCCAGCTCTGGTTCGGAAAGGTCTACGACGAGATCCTACGCGGCTTTACCATCAACACGAACGAAGCGATTCACGGTTCGCTCCTCACCATGAAGGAGCTACTCGACAAGAGCGCCATGTTCATGAACGACCAGAAGTACAAGGAGACGGTTGAGCAGGTATTAAAGTACCGGGAGCACCGCGATGCGCTCGTACGGAGGGAGGTGGTGCTCATCATACCCATCCTCGCTGGTTATTCGCCAACCGAGTTTGCGACCAAGTACCTACACCAGTGCATGCTACATCTCCAGGGTCTCATTAGGAAGGACCGCGACAGGGACAAGGCATTCGTCGCCATTGGACAGATCGCAAACGCGGTCGGAGTCGCCATATCACCATACTTGGAGGGTATCCTAGGCTTCATCCAGGAAGGTCTCATTGCGAAGGCTCGGAACAAGGCTGCTATCAACGAAGCACCGATCTTCCAATGTCTCAGCATGGTCGCGGCCGCGGTTGGTCAGGCACTCACCAAGTCTGTGGAGCGATTACTGGACCCCATTTTCTCCTGCGGCTTGAGTGACGCGCTTTTCCAAGCTCTTGTGGACATGGCGCATTACGTGCCACCATCACGCCCTATGATCCAAGAAAAGCTCTTGGATCTTCTCAGCCAGATCCTTGCTGGACGACACTTCCTACCCCTCGGCAGTCCTTTCCAAATCTCACAACCTCCACAGATATGGACACGCGATCACAAGGACCCTCAGATCATCCCCCAGCGAGAAGCAGAAATCGCACTGGCACTACACACACTCGGTAGTTTTGACTTCACAGGCCACGTGCTGAACGAGTTCGTCCGCGATGTTGCTATCCGTTACGTCGAAGCCGATAACGCTGAGATCCGGAAGCGCGCCGCCCTGACGTGCTGTCAGCTTTTCGTCAAGGACCCTATTGTTCATCAGACTAGTACTCATGCGACAAAGGTGGTGGGCGACATCATCGAGAAGCTCTTGACTGTCGGTGTAGGCGATGTTGAACCCGACATCCGGTGGGATGTCCTCATGGCACTGGATGCGCGTTTCGACCGTCATCTCGGAAAGGCAGACAACGTCCGCACTCTGTTCCTCGCTCTCAATGACGAGGTCTTTGCTATTCGAGAGGCGGCCATGTCTATCATTGGTCGCCTGACGGCCGTCAACCCCGCCTACGTCTTTCCTTCCTTGCGCAAGGTCTTACTTCAGCTGCTGACTGAGGTCAACTACGCCAATAGCCCTCGCAGCAAGGAAGAGAGCGCCAAGTTGATTAGTAGTCTAGTCGGCGCCGCGGACAGCCTTATCAAACCCCTGATAGATCCCATTGTTGAGGTTCTGCTGCCCAAGTGCAAAGACTCAAACCCCGAGGTTGCTTCAACAAC